CAATGCGGCCCCCCGACACTTTAGAGAGTCATGGATCGACGCACAACATTGCTGACGCAGTTGTTGTTCTTTTTCTACTTTCATGTATGTGGGAGAAATAGGGCAATGGCTCCAAGGCCAAAATACGAGGATCTGTGCAGGTCTTTGAAGGCCGCGGGAAAGAAGGACAAGGAGAGGAAGAAATCGAAGGCCGAAAAGAAAAAAGATTCGAGAGAGCGTCGCAGAAGCGGATCTGAGAATGTGAAAACGGAACGCACCAGCAGGCGAAAGCACGGATCAAAAGTTTCAGTCCCATCAAGTCAGCGTGTTCTTTCAAAGATGAAAGAACGCAATGAGTCCCCCCTTTCAACTCCCACCCCACAGAGCCGTGTCATCGGTGCCGAGAACCGTCCGCCCAGGACCCTTGAGAAGAGGTCGCGGGAAGATGAAATCACAAAGGTGCACCGCAGAACAAAGAAGGGAATCTCCTACAAAAAGGACACAACGGTGGACATGATCGATCTGAGAGGGTCGGACGATATGCACAGCGGAGCCCGAGAGGAAGCAGAGGAGGAACACGACGACCCCTCATCGAAAAAGTCCGACAGGGAGGATGACAACTCGTCAAGCGACGAGGTCCACGAGAGTGAGACCTCCCACAGACATCCTCGCGACACTAACGAGGCTGACGATGACGACGGCGGGAGTGACGACGGCACCGCGCACGAAGAGAGTGACGATGGGTCAGCCGAAGACGATAGAAGCACATCTAGAAGAGCGAGTTCCCCGTCCCCGGGAGGAACATAACGCACGAGGGTCCCCGGGAGGAACACAACGCACGAGGGCAGCGCTACCGACACCCCTTCCATTGGCAGACAAATAGTGAGGCACGCTAATACTGCTGGAAAAGGTAAACAAAGTATGCTGCAGTTGCTGCCCTTGCCAAACGATTACATTCGGACTCGCAAAGTTCAGGCACATCGCTGAAGCAAGGATTTGACTTTGATGAACATGCGGTTGAAATGGACTGCTGAATGTCGCTAGTGCTAAAATGTATCTGGACTGCCGAGTTCTGAAATATTATTATGTGCGTTGTGATGTCTGTCTCCCAGCAGATGACACGAACTCGCAAGCAAAAGTGTGCGCGAATACTGGAGGACAACATCAAGTGAATGAAGACTCCGGCGCATTCACAAAGAGAATGAGGGGCAGGCTGTTCCGCTCGGTCACGAAAGCCTTTGCGTTCTCCGCAGCAAAGGACGCAACTCTGTACCCTACAGAGGATGCATTTTTTACATCGCTGCAAACCACGGCCAAATTGGTGGGGGAGATTGCGGAGGAAGGACTGCGCTCACACGTAACGTCCTGCGGGATTCGAGCAGTCATAGGGGAGTGCAACAAAATGACAACGACCGTGCGTGGGGAAATAACATGGCAACTGAAACATTGGTTTTGGGCTGAAAAAGGGATCCCTCTTGTGCGGTCGCAGCAAACAGATATCCAGCTCCCCACTCGCAACAAGATGCGAGCAGAGATGAAGAAAAATAAAACGTGGAGAGGAGCGGCGATGATCCTTGGGGCGCCCCTGCCTTCAAGACGGCACTCACCAAGGTTTTTCAGATGAGGAGGGACGACGTCAACCTTGGAGTGACACTGCAGCAATTGGCTTTTGCGGAGATTGTTATGCAATGCGAAATGGAGCAGACAACAAAGACCACCAAAGTCGCGGAGCAGATTGAAAAATTGGTTTCTATAAAGCAAGACATCGTATCATCTCTTCGTAGCCGCGATACAGTCATGAGTTTTTCGATCTTCAAGCTGGATCGTGCCGTATCCGTAGCTGAGAAGGTTGCTATGCTGTTTCGAGTTGGTGTGCCGTCTGTCCACAGGAGTGGGCCTCCTAGCACCACAAAAACGGATGATGATTTCGACCTCGAGTTCATTGCACCTCAGCGTGAGAGAAGCAGAGACGAGGAGAGGGATACAAAAGGTCTGTGCGCCAGACCTTGAACAGCGGGGGGCGGGTGCCGAGCGGGGAAGGG